ATGTCAGTCAGTTTCACTTGTACCTACATGTGAAACTGGCTGACATACATAGAATACTAGATACATATATGTATTTTTGTATATGCACTATTATCTCGCGATTGGCTGAACAGATTTTGATGTGGTTTTCAGAAAAGCATTTGTTATCCTTAGAAGGTATATTAATTACCTAACTAACTTCAAAAATGAGGGGATAGATGTCGGTTTTTTAAACGCTGATTAAAAAGGTTTTAAAAAGAAGTGTCCTACACTATTTAGACTAGTCACGGGTTTAATTCTCGTTAGGAAAAGTACCTACCTAGGTGTCATTATTTGCTATCTGTACCTTTACCTATCCCTTCCGGTAAATAAAAGGATTGACCCTATTATATTATCTGTTATATTTTATTTCATAATCATGCATAACGGTTCAATAACACAATAGTTCAATTATGCCCAGGGAATAGGTACCATAGGTAGGTAGGTACTCACTTATTTATTTATTTTATCTTTATAATAATTACGTTACGTTATTACTGAATGAAATTGTGACGTGTCAGCGTAATAATAAGGTAACCATTTAAAGTTAAAATAATGAATCATAACACCAGGAATAAGAATGTTGTTGTTATTCCAACTTGTTTGTTCCAATATTTTGAGAGCATCTAACATAGAGTTAAGTCTAATAATTCGAACACAATAATATTATTCATAAGTATTTTTTTTTTATTAGGTAAGTAGATCTTTCCATCTTTCCACATTCCCTGCCAAAACAGACGATGTCATTTGAAAAAAAATGTACATACAACCCAGATTCGGATTTTGGTCCTCGCGTAGGTTGCTCAGGTGTTGCATTTTTGTCATTAGACTGGTAAGGCTATTATTACAAAGTTAAGAAGGTGCTTATACTACCTATGTGCCCATTTAAAGTTTTCATCTTTACCTACTAAATAATAATACTTATACACGTTCATAAGACTAAAATTCTACAAGATTTCTTGATGAACCCTATAGAAATTTTGATCAATAAAAAAGATCTTGAAAAATGATTACGAACCTAAAATTAGTGTCAGTAAGAAAAATATTAATTAACATACCTTTAATTTCGACTTATGAACGACATCTTTGCTTTGCAACGAGTCAAAAGCATGCCAGATGCAATTGGTTACGTTCTTCAATAATGTAGACATTTTCTTTTAACACTATTATTATAAAAGCACCACAAAATAATCTTACAACTAACAATTTAATAACACAAACACATTTTTATAAATCTGATTTTAAAAGCAGAAATTTACAACATAAAATGCACCGTTCTATTTTTGAAATTAGGCAAAGCGCGCGAAATATTATAATGAATACTTTTTGGCTACGCGCGATAAAGGCAAAGGAAGGACACGTTCTGCCTCGGCCCGCTTGAAAACCAGACTGGGCGAGCGTAGAGCGATAAGTCAAAGGAAATGGCTCACGCGGAACGGAACTAGCACGGCACGTCTGACAAAGTTTACTTGCTTCGTATGTACATTATACATGTATAGGTATGGTAATCATTGATGAATGCAATGAAACTAAGGCCGAGGAGAACGGAATACGACAATTGCACCATACGCCAATAGTACCTACCTATACAAATACCGAACAAACTATACCTAATTTGTATTTTTATAAAGTATCAAAATTAAATTTTAAGTAATGTTAAGTAATTCATTTATTGTTTTGTATTGACCTACAGTGAGATTCCTGTAGGTAACAAGATATTACGGCTTACTCAGTAATTGTCCAAGGATAGTATGTAACGAAGGGTGCTCGACTAGTTTCAAGCTACAAAAGGGTCCATAATTATGCAAATTAAGCAAGACGCGAACTATTAAGTTTACATATTGGACAGTTCGATTCAGTGGATTTTTCAAGGTTACATTTTCTAATTTTATGTTTCATCATTTAATCAAGCAAGCAATATTATACCCACTTACGTACCGATCAACAATAGTTGTTATTGTTGATCGAAGTACGTACCGCTACGGACTGCTTTAACCAACGGATGTCACTAATTTTATTTTAATAAACAATATATAATATATATAACAATATATATAATAATTGAATGACGCGAAATTACCCACACGAAATACTTGCCTAATTAATAGATAATATTAGCATAAATAAAATAAAACCTTTTTACGCAGGCACGGAAAACAATCTGGTTATAAATGGCATATAAAAATTGAAAATGCCATTTCCGTTTTATTTACTTTTTAATTTTTTTTGACAAGTATAATGGCTAGATATAATTTTTTGTGTATAAATTAGCCAGGTTTTCCTTAAATTTTTAATTAGCTACGAGAGACCTATTCCTGTACCTATCTATTTTATTTATTTCATGTTTAAATCGGATTATGTAAACCTAATAATGCCTATTTATTAATTTTGTTATAGGTAAATTAAACCTCTTCTGTTCACGGACAAAAGACCTGGCCACACGGGCTATAAAAATTTGAAATGCCATTTGTGTTTTCTTTTTAATTATATTTTTTTACATTTAATGGCTCCTATTATTTTTTCGCCTAAAGCAACCGGATTTAATTTTATGACAGTTATGTAGCTAAAAAGTATTTATTTTAATGGGTATCTTACATCAATTACAGACACGTAGATACATTATTAATAATACCTATTATTATTAAGGTAGGTAGGTACTTAGTATGTTTATTTAGCTAACAGGAAATTTTCTAGCTCTACGTATAGCATTCTGCAGATGTTGGGTTCCCTTACAAACGTGAGACGTGACCGCCCTTAATTGGCTATTAATTTACGCGACACGTATAGGTACCTATCTGTTGTATTTTAAAAGGCTGTTCATGAATCTTACTTGTAGTGTACCTACATACTTAGGTAGGTATGTGGGTACGTATTAACCTCTTGACTGCTGGTATACATACCAATAAGACACAATAGAAAATATCTACATTGTGTCTCGCGTATATTTACCTACGTTTATTCATACCACGGGTTAATGGCAAATAAAAATAAATAGGTACATATAAAAATGGTCCAGCCGTTTTCGAGATTTAGCGAGACTAACAAACAACAATAAGATTATAAGAATATTGGGCAGTACCTACCTATGTAGTGTGGCAGTAGAAGCTAGATCAACACAAATCATGTCTTCCTATAGGTACTATTCAATCAATCAATTTTTCGTGTACCATTTTAATCCATTAATAGGCAGAAGTTCTCCCGCCTCTACGCAAATAAAGATGACCTTTTCATAACAAAGGCAGCTTTATTTTAAAAAGGGTGTCCTTACTCGTGTGTATTAACCTAACGAAGCGAAAAAAATCTATTTTAGGCGTAGGTATATTATGCATTTTTTGACGAACGAAAACCCGCATGAAACAACGCTATATAGCGTTATGTTTTGCCGTGTGAGTGAGGTTACCGAATTTTCAAATTAAGTTATATCTTCCTCTCATCCCCAATTTTTAAAAGGCCGGCGACGCATTGGTAACTTCTCTGGTGTTGCGGGTGTCCATTCCATGGACAGTAAAAAGAAATACTTCCTTACATTAGGACTTTGACTGCCAATAAAAAAACTGTTGGAGGTAAATCCTCCGCTAACGTCGCGTCGGTCACCGGTGACCCCATGGCATTGAACGTGTTAAGTTGACGTTTATAATGAAAAAACAAAACGCTGTGATTCTTTAATCTTTGCATATCGTCATTAACATCTCGTCAACACAGCCTCCCTCAGATAATAATTATATTACTCATCACTTGAGAAACTCGCCTTCGCATGTTTTCACCTTATCTGAGCGCACGCGCCGACACTGACTCATAAGGACGTAGGTACGACTCATTTAAATATACTTTAACAATCATGCTCTGAAAGGGCATAACATCTAGATTTATTAATCAATTATAATATTATTTGTTACTAATTCAACCGGAAAACCTTCCCTGGACTTCCACATTAAAACCCATATTAGCTAAATCGGTCCAGCCGTTTTCGAGTTTCATCGAGACTAACGAACAGCAATTCATTAGCTAGGTACCTATACAAAGATAATTTTTTTTTGTAGTCGTTTATTTGCTTTGCTTTTACTTCAACGACTGTTTATATTGTGCACAAGTTTTTTAAAGCACGGCGGCATTCGGCGCCACCCATGGACACCTGAAACACCAAGGGGTTACAAGTGCGTTACCGGCCTTTTGGGAATTGGGAATTTGAGGATTGTAGAGGTTTCGGGGATTGGGGAGACTGGGGAGGGGAGTAATTGGGCCTCCAGTGACCTCCCGAATACGACGAAATACAACGCAAGCGTTGTTTCACGTCGGTTTTCTGTGAGGCCGTGGTATCACTCCGGTCGAGCCGGCCCATTCTTGCCGAAGCATGGCTCTCCCACACTTAAAATCGAATACTGAAAAGCTACTCAATTGTAATTGGTACCTACTATTTCAGCGTAAGATGCTTATTAGTTCTATAAACTCCAAATTCTTATAACCACAAATACGAAGTTTTTCGAGGTCGTTAGCTACCAAACGACTCCGGAATCGTCTCAGTCATGTCCATAAGTGTGTAGGTCAGACATGCAAATAACTATACATACCTACTTCTATCGGAAGTAACTCAAGGCTTTGCCCTTATGTGAGCGCGGACATTTCACGCTGTCAAATATGATCTTGATTCTAAAACAAATTAATAAATGTATATGCGAGTTCTTTGACTTACTTATAGTCCTGTGTCCCCTAGATGGGGCAGAGGGCGTCCAGAGGTTCTCCATCTCAATCGGTCTTGAACTTCTCGCTTCATCTGGCTCCACGTCAATCTGATGCTCGTTTTACGCACTGTGATAGCAGAAGCGGCGAGCATGCGAGTTTAGAGTTGTAATTTTAAAATTGTAGGCTTAAGAGAATGTACCTAGCTACTCAAGTTAAGTTTAAGAGTAGTTATTACATTACATACAACTTAAAATAAATACTAAGCATGAAGGTACGTTAACACGATAGAAATAAAACACGAATATCTTTGGTAAGTTTATTAATTAATTACTACTACACATAAATTACATATAGATAAAAATTACGATTATAAAACTGCAATATACCGGATCTTATCAACCTTCATATTACACTGGTGTCGAAAATTCAAACTATTACTGGCCAACCGCCATCTTGCAGGGTTGTCAATCTTGATAAAAAGCTATCCAGATAAAGTTGTAAAGTATCACGAAAAGCTCGAACAAGCTATTTCACGTTCCAATTTACCCTTTTAGGGTCTACATGAGTAAGTAGATAATTATACTCAGACTTGATAAGCTTCCCATGTTCACTTCGAAAGCCATATTGCTTTTGCAAATCTAACGCATCTGACAACCCCTTCAAATCCTTACATCTAATGGCTAATAAGCGCCATAAAAAGCCAAAATTATGCTATGCATGCACTAACACTATTCCAATATATATGCGAATACAATAAATAACCGATATTGTAAAAAATTCTCGAAATTCACAACAAAACACAAACTTGTGCAGGTAAGTACTTTTCCAATTCCCAAACTTGTCACGCTCCCAAACACGTTTAGAAGAATTATACTACTAAATAATCTCAATGTATATACAGAAACATTATTGGAATGTTTTATAAAAAAAATGTAAAAAAATAAACCACATGAGGTTAAGTTCTTAAAATAACTTAGGGCGAGAAAATGGCAAGGATATTTTAGATATTATATTTAAGTTTAAATTTAATGATGGCGTCGACAGTGTAATGTATGTTAGAGAGAATATAGAATATGGAGATTTTTTTTTGATAAGGTTTTAGATCATTGAGATTTAGAATATTGTTCTAATATTTAATATTACACGCCTGCCTTCAACCAGTAGTCGTTATGTACTTGACGTAGATCCATTATAAAGCTAAGTAGCTGCCGATTTCTTGCTATGATTTACGAGATTTAACCATTTTCATTAGAGAAAAATTACAAGGAACTGTAAGTTGAAAATATTTTTTTATTAAGAATATTCCGAGAATTAATAATGATAGAGATCTAAATAGAAAACCTAAGAGATTACAACACAACCTTTATAAGGAAATGTAATTTTCTAACTTAACACACGAACACGCGTTCTCTTTTCTTCCATCCGCTTACACAATAAACTTGTCCAAACAAATATAATTTAAATTAAAATAACAATTCATTTGTCACATACAAAAATATCGTAATCATATCTAAAAACTTATTTTGTACATAATTATAATTAATTTAACAAATAGTTAAAAATATCAAAACAATCGGGTTGTCCCCCGTTACGAAAATTAAGAAAGTTATGTAATGACATGAAATTTCTTATTCAATCTAAGACAGGTTAGTTATATGTAATTCTTATTATAATGACTTACTGTTCGGTCAATTTAATGCAATTTTACATTGTGTAACATCGTCAATATAGCCACATACAGAACTGTGGCAGACTGACGTAGTCAAAATGTTAGAGTATGGCCAAGATTCTCAGTAGCAGAATTGGTCTATTTTAATAATATCTTTTCTGTGAGTCTTCAGTAACCGTAAACTGTTATGTATCGTTTGCACTCATTATTGCTTGAAGAAAGGTCTATTGCTCACATTGCGTTGTTTACATTTATAGATGATGGGAAGTATATTGCCATTTCTCATGCAACATAACAATGTTTATACACATTGAATACATTCCTGTATATTGTCTGCGAAATCCCATCAATTTTATTCTAGATCACGTAGCTGTGTTTACCTGTTACAGTTCTAAATTGTGAAATTTTAGTGATGTTTATTGTACTTTATATTTAAATTATTGTAGGCGAACATATGGTAAACCATATGGTTTGAAAACATTTATAATTTACACATTAATATTGCTGTGTAATATTATAATAGTAAGAGTAATGTTTTTAATGTTTATATTCCTTTTCCTGTCGCAGGTCTGTAGGAAGAAATCTCTTAAGGGATATGCAGTACCTATGTACCTCAAGCTTTTAATGTGTTCTCTGTAATATTGTCAGCTGTATGGTGTACATGAAATGATAAATAAATAGCGTGCTAGTTTTCATATCGATTTCAAGTGACATATGTTTAAGTACCTAGTTCTTGTTAAAGAAAACACATATCTATGTACATTGCATTAAATTGCTCGGAACAATGCAAACATTTGACACGTAGTTACATTTATGAATTTAATTTAATACGTGGAATACTAGTTTATGATGACTAGACTCGTCACAGTAACGTGCCTTAAGCTAAGAGTACATTGAACGACTATTACATTTATTATTATTATTTTGTGCCATCCCACTTTGGCAACTAGCTGTTAAGTTAATCAGGGCTTTCGTGTTTCAATTCATCGGCTCAAGTCTTTGGACCTTAGACTTATTGGCTAACTGCCGTACATAAAGACATTTATTGACTACTTAAACTATTCCTTAGTAACTATTTTGTTCTGAAAACAATTGCTAAGTATGGGTTAAGTAGCCATTAAATAATTCTGTTTGGCCAGCGGTAGTAGACTGTTTGCGCCAACCAGTGGCATCATTGATGAGCTCAAAAACGAAAGCTTCGATTGCAGTTTTCGACTAGCGTTAAGAACACAACATAAAGGGCGATATTTCTGTTGTAATTTCTATTAGCAAAACAGGGTTTCATTATCATACGATAAAACATTTGTAATATTTTTCAATGTTAAAGTATTATTATACTTATACGATTCAAGTTCAATGCTATGTACTAAACGCTAGTCTGTAGTTGGGAATGACCAGTGTCGTCATCAAATGCCATAATCGCGAAGTGTTCGGAAGCAACAATATGTCGTACTACAACCATAATTGTTTTACCAAGACTTGATACAACGCTACACGATGAATATAGCTTTATATCTTTGTATCTCAGTGGAACAATGATGGCTGTATCAGGTCATAATGTGCCCTCTGAATCTGTTAATCTTGCATACTGACTGGTTAATACATCCATGAAGATTCATATGTGGAGTGTTTTGTCTGTTTTCACCTTTATTAGTGATGAGCAAAATGATCACCGTTTCGAGAAACAGTACTTCGTTGTTAGTTTTGGCGACTGACAACTATTTAGTTGCACAATGTAAACAGAGCAAAACATTTTCCACGTTTTTATTGGAATGATTTTCAATGAGCATTGGGGTCGACTTGAAAAAACAGAGTGAAACAAACGAGTATCTACTGACGATTGCCCTACACACAAAATTTAACAAAACAACTAAATATAATTAAAAATATTTGGGAAAGTTTGGAAGGTACTTAGTGAGAAGTATAACGTAGGTATTTAATTAAGGGACTTCCTTTCAGATGTGCTATATCGCGAAGTTTTAATGAGTGATAGAAAGAGGAACTTTTAAATTGTGTTAGGCACAATGGCAGTGTTTATATTCGTTTAAGTAGTTGGAGGGATCATTACGTCGTGTCACATCCGACATATTCGAACAGATGACTAAATATTGGGCAGTACTGCCGCATAAGGTAATAACTCTCATAGTAAATCAACATGTCGGACTGCTCACGACTTCCTTCGCGAATAGACAGCCTGAAAGGGGCCATAATCACACGATACATAACAAAACAATTAGTTTGCAAAATAATTTGTTAAATATTGGCAGGGATACATCATAAAGTCGTGTGGTCCAATCGATATGGTTAAGAATCACAGGAGGAAGCGCTTGTAACGCTTTCAAAAATATAAATAGAATGGAGTAACTAGGGTAAATCGTCAGTCTCGAAAGGTTCGGTTCAGTCCGTTTTAGCAAATTAGTCCCTGTATTCAGACATAGTGTGTCAGACCCCGGTGCAGTCTCGATTGCGCTCGTCACATGGGATAGTGACAACAGAGTATCAGTGATGATAGTCATTGACATGACTGTTGGTTTGCGCGATGTGTTAGTACGGGCGCGAAAAGATGTATTATAGTGTATATATCCTCGGGTGGGTGTGTGAATGTCCAGGGATGTATGACCGAGGTTCAGTATGTGGTGTACAGAGTCCAGAGTTCGGTTGGAGCGCGGGTGTCGTGTGGGGCGAGGATGCAGCTATGCGGGGGGCGAGTGTGGGCGCGCGGGGCGGGGTCACCGCGCAGCGCCGCGCCCGCGCCGCCCCGGCTTGCCCCGACGGTTGAAACCCCTGTAATAAACACACCATATTGTAGCGACACGAGATAAAGTGCTATGGGTAAACATAAGAGGTAGGCAGAGGTGCCCATTATGCTACTGTACAATGTAACACCCACTTTACACTATTTATGTTATGAGTCCCATGTAATAGGAGGTGAGCCTATTGCCATATACCGGGCACAATTCCAGATTCCGTGCTACTACTGAGTATTTTTTAAAACCCAGTAATACATTGCCCGACCCGGGAATCGAACCCGAAACCCATTGCCCGGCAGTTGCACTTGCGACCACTCGGCTAACGAGGCAGCGCTGCTAAAGGTACTTGTAAATATATACCAAAATATGTTAAGGTATACACAGTTATACTTATTTTATTGGTTTTAGTAAAAGTTGGTTCTTATTTTTTGTATTAATAACTTTTTTGACAAATGCTATGTTACTTAGGCTTAGTAGTATAGAGTAATTAATTACCTGTAGGGGCCGCGGTAGGCAGGGCGCGCGGGGGAGCCGGGAGCGGAGTTATCATTGGAGGAGTTGCCAGTCTGGCGCGCGTTGCAGTTGATCGCGTTGTTGTTTGGAGCCTTCACCACCTCCGGGGCAACCGATGGAGAAGTGTTATTCACCTGAAGGAAGAGACGACACTATGCATACTAAGTGGAAATAATAGAGGTACAGTGAAACTTGGTTAAGTGGGACCTGGATAAGTGAGAAACCTCCATAACTGGAACTCATGCTGAGGTCCCAACACTTTGGCACTGAATTACCTCTGTTAGTGGGACGAGGTAAACCTCTATATCTGGGATTTGTTCTTTCGATTTATCATCATAGTTACCTCTACAACTGAGACAGCGAGTAACTTTTATATGCATAAACCTCTGTAACTGAGATAACATTGTTTGTTTACCTACTCATTCTTATTCTACCCACAAAATACACATGTAATTCCAAGTCCACCTCTATTAATGGAACCCTCTGTAAATGAGACAGATATTTATACCTGTATATCTGGGACAATGGGTAAGTGGAATACTTCTATAAGTGAAACGACATTGCAGGTCCCTTGATGTCTCACTTAACCAGGTTTCACTGTATAACGCTTTAGAATCCCAAACGAATGAAATTACAAGTTGTTAAAGTAATGACTAAACAGTAAAGTTGCCTTTGGCTCCCGAACTACCCGCATGGCGGCTTTTTTTTTTTTTTAAGGGGGAAAATCATCGAATGACTGCAGCTAATGGCGGCTTAGAGACATATGACAGAGACTGCTACCAGTCTACATTAATTGTGGCAATAATGAAGTACTTACATTATTCTCGTTGTCCTCAGGAGTGGTGATGGTAAGCGGTGGTGGACCGGGGTCATTGCACCCAATGATGCCACCCTTGGCCATTTGGTAGGCCATCATCTTAGCCATCTCACGTTGCAGCGCCTTAAAACAAGTGAATAATTGTATTTCATTAACTAGCTTTTACGCGCGGCTTCGCACGCGTCACAAAAGGATAAAAAGTAGCCTATGTGACATATACCAATACACACAGCGCCATCTATACCAATACTTTTGTTTTCCCTCAGGAATATCAAATTTTTCCGGGATAAAAAATACCCTATTATTTAATCCAGACTTCTAACTTTACGTCTGCAAAAATTCAAAGCAATCGGTTTAGTAGTTACAGCGTGAAAGCGGAACAAACAAACAAACAAACTCACTTTCCAATTTATAATATAAAAAAATAAATATAAGTATACTAAGTATTTTTTTTAAGGGGGGAAAATCATCGAATTACTGCTCCCGCCTGGGTGAGGCGGGAGGGAGTGTCAGACTCTTACTGACTAAAAACCACCCCGTTCCTTCTCCTGCACGTCGAGCCGGAGCCCCGGTTACCCGTTAGGTTCTCCGCGACTCCGAATCGGCATCGGCCCTATTGGGCGATCTGTGGTGGTCTGATGGCTCTTTGAGGCGCGCGCGGAACGCGAAGCGCCGTATGCTCGGGTCTGTTTCTGGTCGGACGGGGAGCCACCCATGCTCGCCGTCCGCAGGCCCGCGCTTACGGTGGCCGGAGATCGTCCCGCGATCCCCGACGCCCGGTGTGTCCTTCGCGATGGCTGGGTTGCGAGGAGGCAGCGCATCATCGCTCCGCATCATGGCCCGCACTAGGCCCGGACGCGAGAGGTCGCCATCGCCGAAAGTATACTAAGTATAGTTAATGGCTATGGACAGGGTATGGACAGGGTATGGAAAGGAAAAAATCATTTAAATAATGAAAACGTCCAAATCGTCTTTCCAAAAAAGAGACCTATTATAAATCATTGCTAATATATAAAGGTACTTAGAGGGTTTGTTTGAACATGCTTTAATATCAGTTGGAAGCGTTTGAGCACATCGAGAGGCGTGGCAAGAGGCTCATCAACGATGATGCGCTTGTGGAGCTCCGGCGAATTGTATATGGAAATTTTTGAAATCGGTCCTGGCGTCTTCGAGTAATCGAGTAACACACATAAAAAAATACAGTCGAATTGAGAACCACCTCCTTTTTTTCGAAGTCGGTTGAAAAATGCATATTCCATGAATTACTGGTCTTAATTTAAAAATCCTTTTGTGTTTAATAGTCCATTTATTAAGGAAGGCTATAAAACATTATGCAACTTTATTCCAGAATACAATAAATTAAATACCTACAGTCAAATGACATCTCACCATTTTTGTTATGACTAACATATAGAAAAGAGTAAGCTAGAGTAAGCTACGTAAAGAATTCTACTGATAGGTAACAACTACGTACCTTTAACTCATCAGTCAAGTAGAATGCTGGTGCAGTGAACGAGGCCATCGGGGGCGGGGCCTTGGCCAGCGCGTCCACGTCGATGTTGATCAGGGTGACGCGGCAAACAGGGCACATCTCCTACACACAAACACATACACATTATCATACGGTGAGCATATACTACTGAACATTGCCATAATCCCCTCACTTTTTTTTAAGGGGGGAAAATCATCGAATTATTTATTTCTCCCGCCTGGGTGAGGCGGGAGGGAGTGTCAGACTCTTACTAAAAACCACCCCGTTCCTACTCCTGCACTTCGAGCCCGAACCCCGGTAACCCGTTAGGTTCTCCGCGGCTATAGTCCCCTCACTGGGATCTCAAATCAAGTTAGTCATTCTGTAAGTGTAAAATGCTAGGAATGTTATTCTAGGCCCATTACTTACTACAAACCTTATTAAAATTATAGCAAGTCTACATCAAACAATTACAGATTTTGGAATAACTAGAAAAGAATATATTTATTGTGAAAACTTGAATATATAATATTATATTATGTGCAAGGTCTTCAAATTACATGTCATCAGAATTCTCTAAATTAGTAGACACTAGCTTTTACCCGCAGCTTCGCTCGCGTCACAAAAGGATAAAAAGTAGCCTATAGATGTGACATATATAACAATACAGCGCCATCTATACCAATACTTTTGTTTTCCCTAGGGAATATCACATTTATCCGAGATACCCTATAATTAAATCCGGACTTCTAACTTTACGTCTGCAAAAAAGCAAAGCAATCGGTTTAGTAGTTACGGCGTGAAAGCAGAGCAAACAAACAAACTCACTTTCCGATTTCTAATATTAGTAAGGATAAGGTCATAGTAGTATTTTAGCTAAGCACACGCCTTCTTGCGCTGTTTTTACTATTACTGTTCATTTTTACTTTTTTTGTTATTTATGTATATAAAAATAGCAATGGTGCAAATAAATTGGTTTTCTTTCATTTATTAGTAAAAATTTGCACACTATAATTAGTTATGGCCGGGATAGAGATGAACTTGTTAAAAATTATAATCGAAATAAATATTTGTAATAAAACTTGCCTTAAAAGGCTCTTTGGTTGCCTGTTGCCAAGCTGGTAGCACCGATTTTTCCTCCTCATGATAACGCCTGCCAGAAATCAGGTGGAGAGCCAAGCAATGGCTATGGAAATAGTGATAGCATTGGGTCCTCACGAAATGGTCTCCCTTACAGAACCCAAAGAGACAGATCATGCATTGACCGCTTGGCAAGTTGCATTCCGTAAGACAATCCCGAATGAGCTGAAAAATTATTAACATAACACAATATTACGCCTTTTATCCCTTAACACGTTAAACGCCATGGGGGTCACCTGTGAACGGCGTTAGCGAAGGGTTTACGTTCAATAGTTTTTTATTGGCAGTCAAAGTCTTAAGAGGTAGGCAAAGGTGCACATTACGGCACTTAATGCCGCTGTACAATGTAACACCTACTTTTCACTATTTATGTTATGAGTCACATGTAATAGGGGATGAGCTTTTTGCCATATACGGGGCACGATTCCAAACTCCATACTTTTACTGGGAAATTTTTCAAAAAGCCTACTAATTCTTTGCCTGCAAGAATCGAACCTGAGTCCCCTTGCCCGGCAGTCGCACTTGCGACCCGTCGCCAATGAGGCAGTCAACACTGGAAAATTATTAGAAATCTGCCTATTAATCCCTTGTTCTTTCTTTGGGGGTGAGAGAATAGTTGAACTCATAGTTAATAAAAGATTAAATTTTCAAAATAAACTGCACACTTAAACTTTCAAAGCATCACTTTATACCAAAGTTTATAATAATTAAGTAATAATTATTTAAATATAATTCTTATTAACCAACTTCATTTTCCTTGACTAAATGTAGTGCAAATCAATGCTCATTGCTATTCCTTTAGAGACTTTGTGTTGCAGTGGGATTCATTAAATTGTCAACATTTAATAAGATGTATGAGTTATTGCCTTATGACTCTCTTCATCTATATAAATAAAAATCAATTTCCGTTCGTTAGGCTTCCTAAAACTCGAGAACGGCTGAACCGATTTGGGTAATTCCGGTCTTGAAATGTTCATGGAAGTCCAGGTAAGGTTTAAAAGGTGAGAAAAAACATTAATAGGCGGTACGAAGTTTGCCGGGCCAGCTAGTACAAACATATTAATCTAGATGTTTGTATGAAGAGAGTAAGTACCTTTGTACCATCTCCTATTGATTGTGGCAATTAATATAATGATGATATATTATTAATTGAACAAGCGTTTAAGCACGGTTTCGTGCAGGTGATCTAGACTGTTCTATTTACAATTTTTTTATCAAATTTTAATGTTTGTGAAATGTTTTTTCATGAAATATAGAATTGTACAATCACTTCTTAATTAGCTTTGTGATTAAGAAGAGTTAATTACTTAATATTGTAATAATATGTAATAGTCCAGGATATGTCCTAGTTTGTTTGTTAATTTTTTTATTGTCTATGGTTTTAGGGACTTTTAGTTCAGGAACATGTCAGCCTCATTAGGACAAATTTTCTTACATCTAACATACTTAATTAATTAAATTGGTCAAAGTATCACTGATGCATAAAGATCTTGTATAGGGAAATGGCTGCAGATGAAGTGGGATTCACTAGAATAGAGGAAAAACAACCAACATCTAATACTTTCAATTTTAATTCACATATCAGTGATTCTCCGCCTCCAACACATTTGCTACATCCTACTACCCTGTGTTGGACATCATCAATAATAAGACATATTTCACAATTTGGGGAACCTTGCTTTTTCATTAAACTGTCAAACACCAAGCGGTCACCGGTGACTGCAACCTATTGTTCTATAATTGTGTCTATAATGACGGTACTCGACGAGTTAAATGGGCAATTTTTTTGATTGTTTGTTAAATGAAAACAATCATTTTACAACAGATACATAATGATGGAATTGATATTGATTAAAATGATACTAATAACAAAACTAGCTAGGAAAATGTATTTAAAGTACTTACTGTGTTTTGAGTAAATAAGTATCTATTTTTGTGATTATGGAAACAAATAAAATCCATTAATAATGCATCACTTAATACATCTGGTCAAATAATAGCAGATAATATTATTGTCAAGTACATAAATCAGATAAAATGAAGTTACCTTGATGAGCTAGCATTTTATCAATAATTTTATTATTTATATATATTTATATCCAGTATTTTTAACTCGTTGAGTACTGTCATTAAAGACACAATTAAAGGACAATAGGTTGCGGTCACCGGTGTCCTCGCGGTGTTTGACAGTTTAAGAGATAATTCAATGTTGTTGAGAATAAGTTCCAAACAATACATTAAAAAAGGTATAGGTACACCTTTTCAGAAAACATACATTTTCTCATACATACACTGAATGAAATACAAGGAATAGAGACTGAATATAATGTATAAAATGAGTATCAGTATTATGGCATAGATTTATTAGAACAGTGAATAGAGGTAGGTCATAGAAAAAGGCTGAGAAAAATAAATACATAAAACTCACCTCAATCAGTTCAAAAATGACCGGTGATCCAAGACAGTCAGCTATTTTCTCCCTGATTTGTACGTGGATGTTCGCCAGTATATCATCGTCGAGGCCTCGCGGATTCCTAAGCGTTACCTCAGGTATGCTATCAGGATAGCCAGGTGTCAACTTTACTACAAGCGTCACACAAACGTACTGCTGTTCCACATCGTCACCCGTTGACGGGTGGAGGACGGTCTCGATGACTTGAGGAACCTCCCCCACTCGTTTTATCACCACATCATCCATTAAAATTGCTTCTAGAGCCTCGATCTCGTCAGTCACCCTAAAAAGAGAATTCAAAATCTATCACTTTGCCTTCTAAAACACTCTACTGGAACCACAAAACAATTACACACCTTTCATCCATGATGGACGACATATCGACTGATACTGATATGTTTTATGAGCTAGAAGGCCCGGGAATCTGGGGTGCATTCAGTTCAGGCAGGCGCAGTGCAGCTATTGCAACGAAACAGCTGGGATTTCAAGAAATTCGCGACGAAAATCAATCACAGGTGCCACAGATTATGTATCTCATAGTGTAGGGCGATTCAATGTGAAAACTCAACTAAATTTTGACATTTCAAAATATAGTCGAGTTGTCCGACGAATAAATCGATTACATTATCAAAAATCGGACCAATTACCTTAGTGCTTCATAAAACTATAAATATATGTTATATCAAAATGGATAAATACTACGTAAATACTGACTATTTTCCCCTATTTTTTGCTTAAAAATTAGAGTAGAAACGGTTGAAAAATCAGCTTTAACTCTTAGGTATTTATCCAATAAATCGCCTATATTTAGACATTATACGGACCTATAAAAATGTGACAGGGCGGTTCTTATGAAAAAAGACCGGAGAAAGAGTAAATTTTGCTTGACGAGTTGACGATGAACACGTCGTAAGTAACACAAGAAACTTGTAAGCAGTTGGTAATTACTTATAATAATTTGGGTAAAGCCAAGAGCAAAAAAATGTTACTTGGCAATTTACCCTTTAGTAATTAATCGTCGTTTAATATAGTAGTTTAACATCGTAACAACATATCGAGTAGTACTATTATGTAATGTATGATATTACAATTATTATATTAATATGTAAGGTTATAATAATAATGGATGAATATCTACCTATACATGTATGATAATGTAAGTATGATAGAATTTTCGAGATTAAAACCCGAGATTCTTTGTTACTGCTATTTAGTAAAGTAATAATAACCTGAATTTTATTCTTAAAGAGAAATAAGCAAGCGTTGATGTTATAGCAGAATTCTATTAAGTAAGGTAAGGCCTATAATATAATAAGGTTATTTTTATTTATTTGGGGGTTTTTTTTAAGGGGTAAAATCATCGAATGACTGCTCCCGCCTGGGTGAGGCGGGAGGGAGTGTCAGACTCTTACTGACTAAAAACCACCCCGTTCCTTCTCCTACACGTCGAGCCGGAGCCCCGGTTACCCGTTAGGTTCTCCGCGACATTTATTTGGGGTTTAGCCTTTAAACTTTAAACGGGCAGACGGGATTGAAAATAGATTGGTACCTAGATGTTGTGTGCGTTGCCGGAAGAAAAGGAAGAAAAAAGACGTCAATGTTTTACAATTTCTATAATAAATAATAATAATTAAAAGCTTATATCTATGTTGAATTTTCATATTCCTACGCTATATCTAATACTTATAAGCTTAAGTACGGAAGTTCAGATGGTAAGGGCCAAGTGCACCCATGCAATAATGTAAGTACTTATACTTGAAACACGAAACGCGCGCTTATGCCTTATTCGCACGACGCTAGTAATTTAGTCGAGTTGCGAAATATTCGCAATGCGAACAATTAATAGTTCTCTCTCCCTTCCATTTTGGGATAGAAGCGAGAGAGGACTACTGAATATTCGCTACTCGACTAAAATACTGGCGTAGTCGGAACAAGGCATTAGCACTCGCCATATGAACTAAATAAATCTAGCTCTAGATTTGTTTGTTCTCTTATTTTATTTTTGACAACAGTTAAGTTTAAGTTATGAGTTTAGAATAGCTAGCACGATACGAGTTGGTGGTGAAACGCCATCCCATTATGTACCTACAAATAAAAAATACCTAGGAAAAATATTTTTCTGAAAAATGTGTAGGTACTAAAAGTTAAATTAAAGATATTTTATTTTCGACTTCGGAACTTAGTCCTGTGGTAGTAGTTTGCATACTAGTCAATTCTTCACGGTTTGCCTTCATTGACCTCGCTAGTCTGAATCTGAACAAGGATTTACGGTGTGCTAGCTTATTCACAAACTCGTTTTGTATATTGAACCTGAAAATAAAATTATGTTTAGTTATTCGATTATAAAGAATCGCAAAGCATCCAAAGTATTGTTATTATGTGAAGTTTATTACTTCGATAGAACGTGTGGTGGGCATGAGTTGTGACTGATGACACTTTTCGTCACTGATATATCATAATACATAAATCAATTTTTTTATTCTATTTTAATATCCGTCTGGTAGTTATTTTAAAACATTAGACACGTATTTTTTATTTCGTACAAAATTCAATACTTTCGACGATAGGTATCTACCTATATGGATTTGAAATATCGTGTGACGTCACGATTTACTACATTTTATAAGGTAGCGTGACGTAACGACCTCCCACTCCTAAACTTAACTCCGTTTTATCTAAATATTGTTTTCTTATACGACAAAATAAAAAAATACATAATGTCTAATATTTTTTTGATTTTTTCATTATCTAACTGACGGACTAATAACATTTTTAATTTTCATACACTGTCTATACTACCGTATTATTTACTTATTTTAATGTTGTTTTTTTATTGAGCAACTTGGACTTTTATGTACTTGCCCCCAAAATCAAACTTTGGGGTACAATCGGCAATCGCCACGTTGAATGTAATCAACGTGAAACCTGCAGCGAGTTCGACGTTGACTAAATATACGATTACCCTTGTTTTTCCCATACACAGAAGTAGAAGTCAATGTGTACCTACTTAACCTATTACATTTTAGGCACAAAGTAAATTATAGGTAAGTAGATAGATGGAGTTTTTTTAGTTTATTTAGGACTTGATCTCTCAGAGACAATATCACCCAGTGTTGTCGAAATTCACGTTATCAACATCTACATACATAATTATGTATATCTGTAAGTAGGTAAAGGCTGTAAACTTACTTTTTGCACAGTTCATTCAAAACATTCTTGTCGCAAATGTAGACGAAAAATATGATGACTCCGATTAAACTGTTGTATGTGGTGCTCAGGATGAAGAGGAATGTGTTATCAGAGTTTGGAATCAACTCGAGGACCCAACTGATGCCCATAGTAAGTGACAGTTTTAAGTAAGTCTTGTAGCTAAAAAGGCAAAAAAATCATAAATGAACCTTCAAATATGAGCAATAGAGTTCCTTCTCCTGCACCTCGAACCGGAGCTCCGGTAACCCGTTAATGGCCATTTTCTATAACCTAGATAGGTTATAGAAAGCAAATTTACAGATAGATATCTGTAAATTTGCTTACTGAGATAGACTTTTCACATAAGCTCTATACAAAATGTCAAAATTCTATCTCAGTAAGCAAATCTACAGATAGGTAGGATATAGAAAATGGCCGTTAGTTCACCGCGGCATTAGGTACCTATATGTTATCCATATTGCAATGGGATTCATACTCATAACATGTATAAAAATAATACCTTAGCGACGGTATTAAAAAAGTATTATACTAATTTATGTATTTTGTTCTACGCACCTGTTTCCCCTGCCACTTCGTCTAAATTCTGCATTTCTTTTTGTAGTATTTGTGGTTGTCATTATATGGTAAATCGTCATTATGAACAGGACTATGTTATTAAACATTATTATACCGAGCGGTATGAAATAGTACATTTTAATTCCATATTCTGAAAAAAACAAACGGTAATGTTGAACATCATGACGTGGGTAATGAATGTACCTACAGTAATCAGGTACATTTTTGGGCCTAAGAATGAAAATAAACAAACTGTGTGTTTAAAAAACAGACTTCCAAAACCAAAAACTTAAAAAAAACAAAAGGTAAAAACTGAAAGCAAAAAGAACTAAGTTGACTTTGAAGACTCATATTTAGGTACTAATGGGCTAGCCACAAGATGACACAAGGTTTAAACAAAATTATTCATCAAATCCTACCTTATATTAGGTTGTGTACAATTTTATTTATTGCAATCCTAAAGTAGGTACATTATGTTATGGGCTTGTGGTGTGGCACGACTTCTAGCTTATCATTCGGTGGTTAACTTATCAGTACATAGTTATTATACGCTAATAAATCGTTATTTTTAAACGGAATTCTAAAAAGGAAGTGTTGGAGAGCTATACTTTGGCACAAATGGGCGGCTCAACCGGAGTGATGCCACGGCTTCACAGAAAACCGACGTGAAACAACGCTTGCGTTGTGTTTCGTCATGTGAGTGGGGTTGCCGGAGGTCCAATTAACCCGCTCCCCAGTCTCCCCAATGCCCTAATCCTCTAAAATCCTCAAATTCTCAATTCCCAAAAGTTCAGTAACGCACTTGTAATGCCTAGGTGTTTTAGGTGTCCATGGGCGGCGCTGATTGCTTATTCGTCTGCTCGTTTACCGGATTATGCCATAAAAAAAAGAATCAGGTAGCTACTGTTAACCATTAAGGAGTTCCCTTATCATCCAAATCCGTCCACAAAAGTCGGAGTAATCGCGTAGCGTATACACACAAAAACATACGGACAAATTGCGAACCTCCTCTGTTTAAGGAAATCGATTCATATTTACCATTTACGAAACAGTCGTCGAATGGTGGTTTGATGATATATTTCAGTTTTTTTACGTCGATGTTGTTCAAGTAGGTGGCGATACCAGTGATTACCAACGGTGCACCCCATCCATACAAACTGTATCGCATGAAACTTAGCAGCTTCTCCCGCCGTGATGCTCTAAATACTTCAAACTTTCTGCGGAAATTAAAAAATAATCAAATTAATACGCAATAAAAGAATGCGAGATAAAGTAAAAGAAAATATTTCACATTTATATAAGCGCTTTTGAAACGCCAAAACACACTTGGGAGCAAATAAACAGAGCCATTGTTATAGTCAGTTAGTTTTTTTCATTTTATCAAAACCTGTAACTGTAAAATAATAGAGGTATATTCGTTTTACAATAAAATGCTCTCATTTCAAAGGTAAATAAATTGCCTTTTATACGAAATACGTTACCGTTAACTATATGTTAATTAATAAAAAAATTGTATCAGAAAATATTTATCATGAAATGAAAAAGAAAAAATCGCTAGTGGCCCCGTTTCTTTGATGACTAGGCTCGTAGAAATAGAAATATTGTTTCGTATTTGGAGGAACGAACTTGAAACTATTCAACAGCCGTGCAAATAGAATGAAAATTATTTCAACTGAAATATCTCCCTATAACTGTTTGTAACAATTAAAGGCTAACAGGAAAAAATATCCATAGGTAGGTTCTAAGTACTTCAAAATTAATGATATCACTACACAGTATAATGCAAAGTCGCTATCCGCCGTCTGTCTGTCCTTATTGTATGCTTAATTCTTTAAAACTACGCAACGGATTTTGATGCGTTTTTTTACCAGATAGAAGGATTCTTTCTTAAGGAAGGTTTATATGTATAATACATGCATATTGCACCCGTGCGGGCGGGTCGCTAGTAATTAATATTTATGATTATTAGTTTTTAGAGCTGTCAAAAACGAAAATTTTCTATGAATTTTGTACGAGATTGTGTATTGTGACGTCACGTTTTTTTAGAGTCAAACAGCACGCTTATTTGGTATGAATTAATTAATGAAATTGTGATTTTTTCTTAGTATTTTATTGTATTGAACAGTCGAAATAATTATTTTTTTATGAAGGCACGTAGGTGGGTGTTTCTTCAAAAAACTTTAACTTTTATTTAACAAATCATAATCTTCCCGCGTTGTTAACAATCGCGGTAACTTATTAGCATCTGTATTTTATTGCATTGGGTGAGAGCAGTGACATGGCTCAATTTTTTGAAACTAAACTTTGTATTTTAATCAGCAAAATTGTTAACAGTGGCTTGAGGATAATGACGCCGTTAATTTTTTGGTTTTTTTTTGGAGAATCACCCAGGTACACCTTTGGGTCGCATCAGCCGCCGGTTTATGTCATTCTTGTCTGACATTTATGTCTAGTGGTCACATGTCTAGTGGAAGGGTAGAGAGTCCTTGTCCTGCAGTGGGACGACCAAGGCTAGTTTTTTGCTACGTGCACGAAGTTACTGGTACGATTTTCCTATTTCTAATCAGATAAGTAGGTATAGTATTTAAATATTATATTTGAAGCGCTCTAGGGCGATCCTACGAATAGATACGAATTGAAATTGACTCACAGTTACCAAATTTGTAGCTATTATTAGGTATGATCGAGTAAATGAGGAAATCAAACTATTAATCCATTTTTAGCTAATTAAAACTAGCAGGAAATAAGGAAGGGGGTTAATATAGTAATGTAGCATATTTATTGGATATTAATGTAAAGTATTGAATATTTTCCCTATTGGCCACCGACTCTTGATAACAGAAGTAAAACCGCTTATAAAATAATACGTAGTGATTCATATTTAAAATTAATGGTACCTATATTCATTTGTATAACAATGGCTCGACTTTGCATGGTGCTATTTTTTGAAAACAATGAATGTTCCCTTTTATGAAGTAGGTTAGTAAATGAGTAGATGGATCCACTAATGGTGAGCAATCGGAGTTGCCCGTGGAACATCAGATAATGACAAGTGGTATTTTGTGGGGCTTTTTGTATCAAGCATTTCCAGGTTACACATGGGTAGATACTTTCCTTAATCAAAAATAAATTATTTCGACTGTTCAATACAATAAATATTAAAAAATAATTACACTTCCACCAATTGGTTTTATGGCCAAATTAATTTTAATATTTTCCAGCATTTTTTTAAGAAATAAGTATGCTGTTTGACGTTTAAAAAACGTGACGTCACTATGCACAATCTCGTACAAAATTCATAGAAAACTGTCGTTTTTGACAGTTCGAAAAAATTTATTGAATTTGGCTAGTTGGCAACAACACTTTTTTTTTTTATGGGACAAGCCCGCCACAACCTCCCAAAACCGCTGCAACTCCTGTAAGCCAGGATCTACAGTAGATACAACCATGAAAACACCGGAACACTGAAGTCCGGCGCGTCCTAGGGACATGAGTAACTGTCTTGGTTCCCGCAACGAAGTGAATCAGAAGATATTATAAGAGGAGAAGAAGAAAAACTATGGTTTTCACTTCCCTCGGTGAATTACTGCAGGAGACAGAATGAATTAAGCCTAAAGGCACAAAGAAGAGACTGTACAACTGCAACAACACTTGTAACGCTTTGGCGACCTTTTTAGGAGTTTGAGTTTGGGGATTTGGGGAAACAAAAGAACGTCGGTATTTTGCATCAAGCGCTCCCCAGGTCTTCCACGTTACGAATGTACCTAACTCAATAGATTACATGGTGGCAGAAACCATTAACTTTTGCTGTAATTGATGTCAGTATGGGTTTATAGTTATACATATAATCGTATCAAATTAACTAACAACGCGATCGCAGCTCTGTAGCTGCGCGACGTTGCCGCGACCACGCACACTGCTCATGACGAAGAACCCCTCTGTGGTTCGAAACTAGTAGAGCTGTTTTCAGTATATTCACGTGAGTAACCCGCGATTTTAGTTAAATTTGTATGTCTGATGATAGTTATAATGTAATCGTATCATCTTATATCTTATATCTTATACTGGCTACTTCTGCGTGGTTTGCTCGGCGCCTATTGGTCGTATCGTGATGTTTCACAGCCTATAGCCTTCCTCGATAGTCGCGGAGAAACTAACGGGTAACTGGCTTAACGTGCAGGAGAAGGAACGGGGTGGTTTTTAGTCAGTAAGAGTCTGACACTCCCTCCCGCCTCACCCAGGCGGGAGCAGTGATACGACGATATTCCCCTCTAAAAAAAAAAAAAAATAGCCTTCCTCGATAAATGGACTATCCAACACAAAAGTATTTTTTCAAATCGGACCTGTAGTTCCATTAGCGCGTTCAAATAAACAAAATTCTAATAAGTAATATATAAGATACAGAATCATCACTACATCATAGTATAAAACAAACTCACTGTCTGCCGTCTGCTGTCCCTATGTTGCTCAGATCTTTGAAACTACGCAACGGATTTTGATGCGGTTTTTTTTAATAGATAGAGTTATTTTAAAGGATGGTTTATATGTATAATAAATGCACATAGCACCCGTGCGAAATCGGGGCGGGTCGCTAGTCTATATCTTTATATATATAATTCTTCTGTAGTGAGTGTGTATGTCACTGAACTTCTCTCAAACGACTGGACCGATTTTGATGAAACTTTTTGTGTGTGTTCAAGGGGATCTGGGAATGGTTTAGATTCACAAATCAGCCCGGCAGATGGCGTTGCAGTCGATGTTTAGGTTATTAATTTATCCTAAACAGCTGAACTAATTTGAATTAATTTTTGTTTATATATTTAAGTGGATATGCAGGACATCGTCTGTTGGGTCCGCTAGTATTTAAATAAAAATAAAACCCGTTCTCCGTTGTCATGCCATAACTTGAGAATCATGGCTGGACTGATTTGGCTGATTTTTTTTGTTGTGTTTTTTATTGTCCGTAGAAGGTTCTTATGATAGAAAAAAATCCTGAAAATCTTATGGGAACGGGAGTAAATGGAGCGTAGTCGAAGAAGCTAGTATAAGATAATTATAAAATACCTAACGTCATGCTACAATCAATAACCGCCGAGTAGAGTGGATGAAAGCGCGCGCAAGTAGCTAGTTCAGTAATAAAGTTAAAAATGAAATAAAAGTAGGTACTATAAATTAACAATGTAGCTAGTTTGGGCCAACCATTCGATCCTGATGCTTCTTATCTATCTCCATAACTTAACACAATAAAAAAGAAAGCGAAAATAAATTTATTAAATATTCACCTTAATCCCCGCCAAATACAAAATGAGAAAGCATTTAACCAGAAGAAACTGGACATCAATAGAAAATATAGGAAAGGAGCTGGAAACAAAGAAATTAAGATTAGCAAAATAAGTAGGTAATCAGGTAATTATACAGTATAGTTTAGATTGCAAATTGAACTTTATACTTATTATTTTACAGCTTTTAGTAGTCATATATCCAATTGTTGCTTGCATGATGACTTTGACTATGAAGCCTAGTAGAATTGTTATTGTGTACGCCATCATTAATAGTCCCGTGAAAGTTGAATGCAGCGTTTTTAACATACAATGAACTATAAATACCAGCAGTAAAAATACCGATGAAATCACCAGGCCTGGAATTTAGAGAAACAATTGTTAATAATTGGTTTTCTAATAGCAAATGCTTAATTATAAGGAAAATATATTTGTTTTTATAATAGATATCTTGAGACATACTAAATTAAGTAAAATCGCGGGTTACTCACGTAAATATACTGAGAAAAGTTCTACTAGTTTCGAACACCAGAGGGGTTCTTCCTCGTGAGCAGCGTGCGCGGTCGCGGTGACACGCGGAGCTCAGCTCAGAAGCTTTTCTCAGTATATTCACGCGAGTAACCCGCGATTTTGGTTAATTAAAAATGTATTTCATAATTTTACCTACACTACTTATTAGTAATTTTGGATATTCCCAAAATGTATGATTTTTTTTTAATTGCTACCTCATAATTGGTGAAATTAATCAGAAATGATATTTCGCCATTTAGTCAAATAATTTCATGAAACCACTTTTTTATCAGTTGTTTCTACTTATTTATTAGTTAATTAAATAATCCATAGAAATCTTAACAATATTTTTATAATAACTATCGTGAGACATACTAAATTAACTATAAATCGCGGGTTACTCATGTGAATATACTGAGAAAAGCTCTACTAGCCGTGACATCGCTGCGACCGCGCATGCTGCTCATGAGGAAGAATCTCTTTGTGGTTCAAACTAATAGAGCTTTTCTCAGTATATTCTACATTAAACTTAACAATATTTATTAATAATTAATAACAAATCATGATCCAAATTATGTGGATCAATCGTAATTTTGGCAGGGAATCCATACAACGAATGTCAAACATCATCTAAATCCAAAGATTATGGCCGTATTTCGATTGTAAGTAGGTAAAATAAAATTGTTTAAATAGTTACCTATAAAAAGTAGGGTATCATTTAGTCCATTATCTTCCGAGAATTGAAAATATTCTTTGATTACTAATGTAAATGTGGGTTTTGCATTTAGCAATATGAGTTTGTTGTCTACACAATATTCTAAATAAGTGAGTTTAAACCATTGTTTGGAATATTTTGGTTCATATATCTTAACCGATGCGTTCTGAAATAAAGAAGAATATATTATAATTGGCCTATGTCCTACCTACGTCGCTAGCCTAGATACATCATCATCAGGTAAAATAAAAAAAATATCATTAAAAAATGTCAAAGTATTACTGTTTTTTTTTTACTATCTCAGTAGTAGCATGGAGTGTAGAATAGTGCCCGGTATATGGCAATAGGCCACCCCCTATTACATGGGACTCATAACATAAATAGTGAAAAGTGGGTGTTACATTGTACAGAGGCATTAAGTGCCGTAATGTGCACCTCTCTCGGGGCCTCGGGGATAAAAGGAGTGATGTTATGTTATGTTATTTAAAAAAATACAAATCTTACTGAGTCAGTCAGTCTTAACGGTTATTTATTAAGTAAATCTGTTCACTTACTTGTATAAAATAATAATCGTTGTCGAATGGTTTAAAATCTCCGCACTTGGTCATATTTTTATGGTTTAGAATGTGTTTAAAATGTGTTTTAATTTCATGTCTAGGCTCCGTATTTGAATAGAAGGTGATGTTGTCATACTGGATTGATGTGAAAATGTCTCCAAATTTTGGTTTGATTCTCTTACGGAGATCTTGAATCTTTACACAAACACCGGCGGCATTAAAGCAGGAATCAAGAGGACAACATTTTTGTATACACCATTCGTCAGAACAATATTTTTTTACATCGATTGCAATGTTGTTTATATCCCTGTAGTCGTCTTTGCATTGTTCTTTCAAGTCATCCGCACACTTTGATATACACAACACTGATAAAAAAGGCAGGATTTTGAGTAAAAGCATTTTAACTTACATTACTGTTATAAGAACTGATAAGTTACGAGTCGGTGGAAACACTGTCAACTTGTATGGACGATGAACTGCATTATTCTGGTTTCCTGTTAGAAACTACGTACATTATGTGTATATTATAATATATAGTGTTCCGTTAGTGGTTTTCCCGTAAATGGCGACAACACTAAAATATTAGGCGTATGCTTTATATTTTGTTATTTATTTACGTAATAACTATTGCCCGCGACGTGGACAAAGTTCCGCGCATTAAGTAATTAAACACCAAGCGGTCACCGGTGACCGCAACCTATTGTTCTATAATTCGAAAGAAAGAAGAAGAGGAAGCCTACTTGCCGCAATCAGTGCGGTACCGCATTGACAGGACACAATTATCTACTGCGACCTGCTGTACCAGCCACGCTGCTCTACGTGTCCCGCCTACATGACTCCACAAAGGTTGAGGAGATTGTGGAGTTCATCAAGATCAAGGCAAAGCTTCACCTGAAGGTTGAGCAACTGCACTCGCTACACAGAGTGGACTTCAAGTCTTTTGTAGTCAGGGTGCCGACTGAACATCTGCCAACCTTAATGAAAGAGGAGTTTTGGCCGCGAGGGGTAGTCTTCCGACGGTTCCGAGGTCGGCTACCGGACACTGTGCGACACACGACGCCGTCTATTCGTGTGACCTAGTTATTAAGTAGGTACTTAATTGAGTAATTATTTTGTTTGTAATGTATGTATTGTATTTATAAATCTTTAATGTATTAGTTTATAGTATTCGATATGGGCCTGTGATGCCTGAAATAAATAAATAAATAAATAAAAATAAAAAATATAATTGTGTCTATAATGACGGCACTCGACGAGTTAATAACATCAGGGAGAATATAGATTATTTTATTTGTCCCATTTTCTTAAACCTATTTCGATATATGATATTAAATTTCAATCAAGTCAATAGGTACTTTAGTTTTCCTTTATTGTGAGATTGTAAAAGATTACGTGGTTCGAAATATTTTCATTATAAAAAGTTGTAATATATTTCACCCTCATCTGCGTCGAGATTTACCTGTCACGCTGTGTAGTCGTTATAGTTAGTATCCGTTCATGTGAGGTTTTCGGAATAACATATTCTATGTCTTTTCTCGAGTCTTATACTATTAATACAGAATTTCAGTAAAATAGGTTTAGTAGTTTAAACGAAATAGCGTCCAGGGATTTTGAAAAGTAAAAACTTAATTCCCGTTCTCATGGCGTTTTCAGAAAGAACCTGTCTAGGTCTTTTTTTGGATCTTAAACGTGCGGAATTTCAGTCAAACAGGTTTAGTTGACTGAAATTCTGCCAATGGTAGTTTGATACCTGAGAAAGGACCTAGATAGGTCTAACTACGTTTTAAAATCCCGGGATACCATTTTTTTTAAACCAACCAGTACAAACAGACAGACAAACATTGCAAAAAATGTTATTTTGGTAGGTATATAGCATATATCGTATGTATTGTCATATGAATATAGTAAAAAGCGAGTTACAAACAGACATTCCCAATTTCTTTATCTGTAGATATACTTGTCATTAAACTGTCAAACACCAAGCGGTCACCGGTGACCGGAACCTATTGTTCTATAATTGTGTCTACGAAGACGGTACTCGACGAGTTAAATATATTTACAACCAGCTTTTGCTCGCGACTTCATCCACGGATTAACTATCAGTAGGTATATTGTGAACTTAACTTTAACTATATTGTGAGATCCTAAACATTTCGTGGTTCAAAATACAAGGAAGGAAAAGTCAAAGACTACAGAGACAGAGACACTATCATACTACTTTTACATATACGCTTTGGCTAATAAACAATACCATGTACAAAAAACAAGTTCTAAACTGACTCCTTATCGCTCACCGGCTGTCTCACTGGACATAACATGTACTTATAACTATTATACTATTATTACGTCGGTTTGTAGTGATCCTAAGCAATTAAACTTTACTTTATTTTGTGGGAAGGTTATAAAATTAAAACTAAATGTCTATGATCAAGAAATACAATTCTTAATTAATAAGGTACACATAATAAATCAGTACAGTGAACATACTCCTATATACATAAACACACGCGCTCCATTTGCGACGATATACAGAAATAGTATAAATATAAACTTTAAGAGATGTTTTCATGGTCTTGGAGTTACATATGTTTCAAGTTTTGCGTCTTACAAGGCTTACATACTACACTGCCTGATATATAAACTTATTCTCTATTACACAACAAACCAAACCGTTACCCCCCCTAAATTATCTTATTATTTACACAAACTATCATTGTCAGCTATCGTACACTTTGCAGTAGTACATAAGCGTGAACTATCACATTTAAACTGTAGCCTAGTATGGGACTGCTTCTGTATCGTGTTTAATACATACCTGGACAATTTAACTACTTCAAATGGCTAAAGGGGTTCATGTGGCCGCTGATATCGATATGACAGACATTACAACTTCTTATAGAATTGAGTCAATTGACGATTGCAAATTCTATTTGGGAGACACGAAAACACAATATACAATTATTTCACAGAACATACGCAGCATAAATAGAAATCTTGATCACTTTATTACACTTCTTAAACGATTACTCTTTCTACCTGATATAATTATACTGACAGAATGTTGGTTAAACGAATTTTCCCCCAGTTTCAACCTTGACGGATACACGTATCACTGCTCTAAAACATACCTTAATCAGAACGACGGCATTGTCGTTTTCACAAGATCGCACCTCCAGATTACTGTACAAGAGCCATCTTTCAAAAACTCAAACTGTTTACTGATAAATATATCTAATCAGGTTTCAGTTATTGCTCTTTACCGGTCCCCATCATTTTCCAATATCACAGATTTCTGTGACTCCCTAGATAAAGTCATACCGTTAGGTACTGGACAGTCATGTGTTATAATCGGTGACATGAACCTGGATATTAAGGCTGGATACACAGACCCACGATCTACAGAATATCTGGATTTGACCGGTTATCATGGATACTATCCTGGTCATAGCTTTCCTACTAGGGAAAACAGCTGCCTGGACCATGTACTGGTTAAATCTCGCTGTAGCACAACAGTTATTGTCTGTCAGTCAGGCATCACGGATCACGATTCTGTAATTTTAGGTATACAGAAACAGCCAACCAAAACACCTGTCTCCAGAAAAATAACTAAAATTGACTATAACGCGATTGATATTGAATTGGCTCAGATGGACTGGAACTGGCTTTATTCTCACATAGACATAGACTCAGCGGTAACCGAATTTACTGAATTTGTTGGAAATTTTGTAAAAAACCACACAAGAGTTATTACTCCGCGCAGTACTGATGTTGTTTTTAAGCCATGGATTACGAGAGGTTTATTAAAGTGTATTCGTCGCAGAGATGCCCTTCACGTCAAAGCTAATAAAACCGAAAATCGTGATAATCTGGCAATTCAACTTGAATATAAAAGGTACCGAAATCACTGCAACAATACGTTAAGCAACCTTAAACTTGAATATGAGCAGAATCGTTTAAATAAAGCTAAAGGCAACCCTAAAAAGCTTTGGTCAGAAATTAAAAATATTTGCAATATTTCCAATAATAAAGCAGAGACATCTGCGCTTTTAACTAACGATGGCAATCTGCTTAGTAAATTAAATAGCGTAAATACCTACTTTTCTACAGTTGGGCAAAAGCTGGCTAATGGCACTCTCGCAAATCTGAATGTCAGCGAGGATCAATTGGCTAATGCTTGGGCCGAAAAGACAAATAATTTGCCTAATGTCTGTCAGTCTTTTTTCTTCGTACCTACAGACGAAGCAGAAATATGCAATATTATTAAAAACTTAAAAACAACATCCTCTTCGGGTATAGATGGCTTAAGTAATAATATTATTACTTGAATTGGATTTAAGCGCACTTCAGCAATCATCTTTGCAACCAGAATCGTCTAAAATTAATAACAAACTTCATTACAATGAGCAAATAATTAAGGAGGTCACGGATCGGAAAGCTAGAGAAAAGAACATCATCATAGCTGGAGTATCAGAACAAACTGCCTCCGACAGGCAAACCAGACTGGCTAACGACGAGCAGGAGGTATGGGATATCATAACCAAGCTGTGCCAAGACCCTCCAAAACCCATAAAGGTTTTTAGAGTTGGAATGTACACAACAGGAAAGCACCGCAGCATAAAGGTGTTTCAACACTACAGACTGTGCTAAAAACATCCTCAAAAATAGGGATAAGCTCCCACAAAACATAAATATATACTCAGACCAAACTCCCACACAACAACTGTATATGAGAAGTTTGAAGGAGGAGCTTACACGCCGCCAAAATGACGGTGAGTCCGACATTACTATAAAATACATTCATGGGACACCAACAATTGTAAAAAACCCTACAAAAAACTCCAAATAATAAGCAACAATACAACCGATATGAACAGTAACACCTATCAAGTACTTGATGACTATAGCAGTATCAACACTCACCAATCAAGACTGCGATTTTTATACCTAAATGCTAGAAGTATACAAAAGAGTGGTAAGCTGGATAAACTTAAATGCATTCTTAAAGCACTGCCTAAAACCACTCACGCTATTCTAATAACAGAAACCTGGATACGATCGGAAACCCAAGCTCAAGCACTGCAAATTGATAACTATACCCATTATTATAACTACAGAACAGACTCGAAAGGAGGAGGGGTTTCGGCATTCATCCACAACAATCTAAAGCATAGCTTGTCAGAATCTAAGTACTTAGGAAATAACTACTTATGGGTGGATTTGGAAAGACACAACTTTGAAATTGGAGTAATATACAACCCTGGCAACACCAACTACACGGAGTTTCTCGAAGAATATGAGTCTCAACTACAACAGCGTAAAAGGGCTATCGTTTTTGGTGATTTTAATATTGACCTTTTAGCTAAAACCAACAAAGAAACGAGACAATACAAGGCAACAACTAAAGAGGCTGGGTATGCATTACTAAACAAAATAACTGAGAAATACTGTACGAGGGATTCAAAAACAAAAAGGAGTATTATTGACCATATTAGCACAAACATAAAGAACGACAATTTTCACATGGCTATATTTCAATCTTCGATGTCCGATCACTATCAGATGTACTTAGAGCTCAAAAAAGTAAAACCACCTCGTAAAATGCGAACTCAATATGAAGCTATA